TGTGCTTCCCTTCAAAGCTGGGGGAGAAGAATAAATAGAGCCTTTCACACTGGTGAGCGCTGCCTGCCCTCCAGTCAGGACTGGTAGCAAAGTCAGACAGGATTTATAAAAGAAATCAATTAAAAAGGAAAACAGACAGCATCATTGAAGGCCTTTGTCCTTGCCAGTCTGCTCAGCAGACTACGCTTTCGTCAAAGAAGAACACCTACCACTTCTGGGACAGTAACCAGAGAGCAAAGTGAAACAAAAGTAGGGTCACATTTACAGCTGCCAAGTAGGCAAAGTTCCTGAGGCTCGGCCAAACACAACAGCACAGACGCTCTTGGGGTGACCTGCACTGTGTGCACGGAGAAGGGCAGCCTGGCAGAGTGTGAGCCCGACACAACGCTCAGCCTCAGCATCTCATTTAAACCTTGCGGCCCCTACGGAAAGGGGGTTGGAATTACAACCAATTACACAGTGCAAACTCCTGTCTGTTCCCACAGATATACAATGCACAGGCGGGAGGGCAGAACAAAAGCGCCCCCAGCCCCAGTTGTGAGGAGCACCAGCCATTAAGGAAACAAACTCCAGGGAGCAGAGTCTGATCACAGCTTCTCCTGAGCAAGCCTGGAGTAACTCCAGCTCTTTCAGTGAACTTACACAAGTGTAACTGATACCAGGGTCTGTATTAGTCTGGTGGTGAGGCACAAAATTAAAATGGAGGGTCCATTAAATGATGGCCTTCCAGATTTAGAGTAACTGAAAAATACTGGTAACAAAGTATGTTGACCTTGAGCAGGACGAAAGAAATACCCACCAGTGGATGGAGCTCACATTTACACAGCATTTCCCAGATATTCTCTTCAGCGGGTCCATTAAGTTTTAAAGGAGGACTTGACTTAGTCTGGTCTCAATAACTTTTTAACAGGGTTCTTGCTGCCACCCTATGTAAACTGCAGAAAAAAGTACACTGATTGCCTTGAAAATACATTGTACATATGTACCCAGTAGACTCATGCCCATGCAGCCACTCTATGCACACACAACCAAGATCCCAACACTGTGCATGGCATGGGAACTGTATCATGACCTTTCTTAAAATATTAGCTTCATGGTGAGTTTGCTACACCCATTTTACTGACATAATGCATGCCCAGTGGCAGGGAAATATGCATACTCCTCATATTTCATGATAGATACATCATGTTTGAACTGAAAGAAATAGCAGCTTTCTCAGTGTAGCCCAGTCTCTCAGAAGAGAGCCCTGTCTTAGTTGGAAAGAGTTTTGTTGGCTTTTTGTTTCTGTAATTGAGATCAATAGTAAAAATCACATTGATTTCAGTGATGAACGAAATGCCATGGCAGCCAATCGATAGGAAATCACCAAACCCACTTCCTAATGGTTTGTTACCTTTAACAGGACACCAGCTACCAGAGAGAAGATCAAAATCAGGCTTTTCCCTCTCCCTCTTTTACAAAATACCCAAAACTTTCTGAGTAATCTGAGTGTCACCAAGAACCAACAGAAAGCACAAGAGTAATGACTAGATCTGCAAAGGCAGGGTAACACTGCAGGATCAAGTCATGTGCAGCTGATGGAAAATGGGAAAGTTCTAGCAATCTTGAAAGGTGCCTCATATTTACGGTATGGTCTACTGAATGCTGAACTGGTTTCTTTTTCAGGAAGTAGAAGCCTACACAATACGTACTGCACAATAATCTAGATCTTTCCCACACTAGGATTTGTTAGAGTAGCCTGTAAAGAATAGGCACTTATCCCAAGAATTGGCAGAAAAAAAGGAGCACTGGTGTGGCACCAAAATACAACCATTGCGCTTTCTCACATACATATGCTGTACAGGTGGAGACTCAAACAGACACAGAGTTTTAGGTTGTTGGTGGGCTGTGTTTTTTCTTTTTGCTCCTGCAAGATTTGCAAATGCAGCAGATGATGCATGGAGATGCCACGAGCAGCAAGGGAGAGGTCACCAGTGCTATGATACCTAGTCCAACGAGGATCCCCACAACCTGAAAGACATGGTGGTGAAAAACATGTATTTAGTTAATGTGGAAAATAAAGTACACTTGTGCATGCATAAGCATTGCACAGGTCACAAAAAAGGGTAGATGAAAAAATGAAAATAATCCTCTTGGTACTTCCTTGAAGGGTAAAATTTCTTTGCTTCATGCATGCATGAGAGCTCTGCTCAGCTGGCTGGGAACACACCTGCGTTCTGTTCCACATCACTGAAGCCCGTGAGTGGCCAAGCTTGTTTCTGCAAGGGCCTCTGTCGTAATGTCGTAAGAAGATATCGTTCTGAAAAACAAAAGGAGAAGCTCTAAGAGCAGGTTACAGTACTGCAGGGAGTGGTTTGAGACCAGACTGGAAACACAACCTTCCTGACACTGCTTTAAAATTGCCAGACAAGTTCACCTCTCTTCTAAAAAACTACCTAAAGAATCTTCTCACAGTTTCAAAAATTGGCCTGTGTTTGACACCTCAGCTATCAGCCAGTATAATTCCTCCCCCACTTTGAAGAAGCATAAGCCTATGAGTTGTACCTGTTGCACAAGAACCTGGTCTGTAATTTGATGATACTAAAGGGGCCTGAAAACATCAGGTATCTCCGAAAACTAGCAGTGTGAGCGATCATTTTCCTGAGGTGCTTCTACTTGCTGTTCTCCTGCTCTACCTATGCTTTATAGGAATTTTCATCCTAGACTTTCCTGGAAAATTAAAAAGCAGAAAAATCACGTTTCCCTTCTCTTTTCTCATTAATACTTACTAAATCACCGATTTGTTTCAGAAGGTGACTCACGCCCTCCACTACCCTCCCTCAGCCAGCTGTGCTGTAACCTGATGCTGCTTCCCCTTTCATTTTTCAGCCCTACTCGCTGCCTTTGCATGTATTACCTTCATCTATGCCCAGAGTTCCTGTAACCCTGAACATTTAAAAAAAGTACATTTGAACCTCACAACTACAGTTTCTTTTCCTCCTTCTCGCTTTGAACTGACAAAAACTCCATAAGGGCATAATTGCAGAGCCTGCAAGAATCCGACCCTCTTCCAGTTCAGCACAGTGTTAAGCAATCACCGTGTACTGGATGTACTCTGAAGCAAGCTGTAAGACTCACACTGAGAAAGCATGCTCATCCACATGGAAATGGGACACAACACCAAGTGAAACCTGTTTAGCATGATGAGCAAAGGAAGGATGAAGAATGAGGAAGTCTCATTGTTTGCTCGCTGCTACAGGAGTTGCAGTACAAAAGAGAGGGCAAGAAAAGCCGTACAGCACATAACATTTTGTTTCAAGTGCTGGTGACGTCCTTTTCACACTCCCACAGTTATTAGTGATGTCTGTGCCAAAATGGCAAAGTGCCACATACACGAGCACATTACTTCCAGGACTCTTACATCTGCTAAGAAACCTGAAGTCCACACGAGTTGAGACTAGTTCACAACCCTTGAGAAACCAACGTGCACTTCCCAATCCAGGCTCATAATCCAACATTTTTATCCTCAAGCTTCCCAACCAACCATTCTCTTCAGCAAACACGGCACAAGAGATGGACCAGCAAAGGAGTCCATATGAGCTCTTAAGCACTCTACCATGGAACAAACCCCTTCAATCAGTATCATACCAGCAACTGGACAGGCTGTGTCCATTGCTGTTGAAGCAGGTGGAAGACACTTATTGCCCTCTCTCTCAAGCAAATGGATTTTAGCTAGTGGAAGAGGGAATAAGAGCAAGGTGTTGCTGGAAAGAACCTCCAGAAAGCAATTGGTCCATCCTATTTCCCTCAAAGAACCAGCATGGGACCCACAGATATGGTATTAACCTTCATGGGGGAAAAAAAAAAATAGTTATAGAAATAAAAGCCCTGGGTGAAAGATGAGAAAGAAATTGAGTCAGAAGCTGAATTAAAGCAAGATATTTGCTAGGACAGTGATGAATTAATGAAGAGCTTGGACAGGGCCTCACACTAAGCCCAACCCTGTTACTCTAGGTGCTTTTTCTGCAGCACTTACATCCAAGTTCTGTAGACAGTACCAGCAAAACGTATGCTTGCAATTCTTGCACATCATCTGAGCACAGCCCTCGTTTCGCTCAATGTAGATCCGACAAACTGGGCACTGCTTAATTGGTGCCTCTGTCTCTGCTCCAATAAGGGATCTAGAAGAGCAAGGAAACATTAAAGTGAAATGTGAATGCAGTTACTGTTGATATTCCACTACCTAAAGTATACTGTGCTTATTTTCCAGAGCATTTAAGATGTTGTCCTAATGCACTCAAATGGGTGAAGTTTCTTGTGTTCAGTACAATACATCAACATATACTCATTGCTAGGTGTAAGATATTAATATCACATGAAAGTAAAACTTCATTGCCTTGTTCTTTTATGCTATATAAAACCAACACTCACTACACCCACAAATTATTCACCTATAGCATTAAAACTTAGGACTTTGTTACAGACAGCTTGCACAATACATTTAACAGGATTGGATTGTGCAACTCATACCACTGTCCTTGTCTGAACAAAATAAGCTTAAACTCCACCAAAGCCCGAAACCAAAGCTGGAGAAAAAAAGCATGGCAAGAGCTTTTTGGCAAATCCTTATTCAATGAGGTCTCTAGGAAGCACAATGCTCAGATTTTTAGTCTTTCAGTTCTTGCAAAAACTGATGAAAAACTTCTAATATACAACTAAATAAAATCTGATTCTGAAAACATAGATGGAGGGCCAGAGACATAATGTAATTTAAACACAAAAGTGCTCTCTTTCTGTAGATGAATGAGTTATGCAATCTTGTCGGTAGGTTATTTGCACCTAAACAAAATGAGCTTAAAATCTTGTTTTTCATAGCCGATGAAATTGACACTCTGTGTAAGAGTTAAGGTTTCTCTATGCAGAGATTTTACAAATATTAAGCAGTTTCTTAATCACAGTATAAGCAAAATTTGGATCCTGGGATATTAATGCATTGGATTGTTTGTATGGGCAAAAGTCCTAATTCCAAGGCAACAAAGTCTTTAGGCAGATACAAAGCCCTGGAGGGCTTCACCTTTCAGAAGTATCAGTCGCAACTCAAGCTTGACAAATAGGCAAATAATATGAAGTATTAAAAAAAAAAATGTATCATTTAAAGTAATATGAAGACTGGAATTTTATTTAAGAAACACTGGGAGAGATGGAGAGCCTCAGAGATGAACTTATGGA